AAGGGGGGGCTATTGAATTTTTCCAAGAAAATGATGGGGGGGGGGTTGCAATTAAATTTGAAAGAATTTGCTTAATAACCTGGTATCCATTTGGTTGTAAATGTTGCAACTAAATCATGGTCACTGATGTGAAATAGTCTGGATTCATCTTGTCTTGTATGCTGTATGCAAATCAGATGTACGGTTTGCAGACTAGTTAAATTGACAACGTATTATTACATCAGCTCTTGATGTGGTTAAATACGTTTAAATTAAGCAAGGTTAACGGTGGATGTATTATGCAGGCCACATCCACTGAGGGGAGTCTGTGACGTCATATCGATCAAAGTGGGTTGTTTCATGCCTTGTGATCAGTGCTTCGGTCTGGGTATTCATTCTGCCATTGTATGCTTTCCCTAGCTGCAGCAAGTTTTGCACTTTGATACCTTTTCCCCACCCACCCACCCATGTTCATTCTAAAGCATATTATCTGGCAGCTATGTAGTATATGTCATTTTATTTTATATAATTTTTATCTCATTGTTGCTGCACAGCTGCTATGGCAATACTTCGTACCATCAAGTCTAGTTGCAGCCTTAAACATGGTTACAATTGCCCAGACCAAATGGAAACCTGATTTTAGTGTTATATATAAAAATACTCCTCTTTTAATTATAATTTTCCGCTAATATATATTTTTGGTCGACGTTAATATCTTGCCAGTTCCATATTCTTATTTAATAATTAACACTATAACGCCTGGGTATCCCCATTTGACGAGCAAAAATAAAAATGGGGGGGGTCAAAGAAAAATATTCCAATATGCAGGGGGGTCATCATTAAATTTCTGCTCTTTTAGGGGGGGCTTTCAATTTTAAAAATTTATAAAAGAAAAAATTCCCCTCCCCCTTCCATAAATAATGACCGGTCCCTTACGGTATATGTTTTCATACTTTTTCCCGTCAAAAACACATTGAATAATTATTATGCCTGAATTGAAGTATCGACAAACACGCCATGTTTCGGTAACCATGTTGATGATTCTCGCATGAAGTATCAAGGAGAATAATTTGAAACCGCTGTTTTAAAAAAAAACCAATTGCTTCATCGCTCGAGCGCCACATGCTTTAGAGTTACAGTTACCGGTGAAGAGGGCTATAAAATGAGTCAAACACATAAAAAAGGGAAAATATCGGCGATTGATAAAAAATAACTAAACACTACACTACGGTTCATACCATATGTGTGCTTTTACTAATTTAATGGTGGAAATGTGCATCTAAAAATAAAAAGGTTTAACCGATAGAACACCACAATTCCACAGCAAAAAAATTGCAGCCACACCCCAAAACATGTGACCCATCCACAAAAAATTGTGGCCACGCCCACAAAATGATTTTGGACGGCCACTTTTGAAATCCTGGCTAATACCCTGCTAAAGTAGTCTATGAGGTACCGTACCCTAAAGTAGTCTAAGGAGATCTAAGGTAGTCTAAGGTACCCTAAGGTAGTCTAAGGGTTAGTCTAAGGCAATCTAAGGTACCCTGATCGAGGTACTATAGGCTAAGATAAGCTGAAGTAGTCTAAGGTATGCCAAGATACCCTAAGGTAGCCTGAGGTATCCTAAAGTACCAATACACTAAGGTAGGCTAAGGTACATTAAGGCACAGAATAGGAAGTTATAGCAGAAGCGTAACTCTAGTCGTTTCCCTTATTGTTTGACGTCCACGAAAATTTTAACTCGCTCACGCCAATCACGTCATCCTGGCTAGTACAACCGGAAGTTTTTATCAGGTTTTGGTAGGTACAAAGTGCCGGTTGTACTAGCCAGGATGGCGTGATTGATGACGAATCGCTTGCAAAAACTCGGACAAATACTTGCTTGAGTTACGCTTCTGCTATACCTTCCTATTCTGTGATTAAGGTATGCGATGTGTAAAAGTATTGTATGCCTATTTTGGTTGCTCATATACCAAGAAAGTGACACAAAAATAAGGGATAGGGAATACAAGTTATTATTAAATTGATTGAATATTTGAATCAATTTTTATGATATGCTTTAGATATTATTTTTTGCATTGGGCCATTCCATTTAATATGCGCACCCCCCGTATTGAGGGTTGTGGATATCCAGGGGGTCCAAAGAACAAAAATCCATTAGGAGAAAGAAATTTTTCAAGATATATCCATGGGTAAATATAAAAAAATCCAAATAAAAATCCAAATGGAAAAAATTTAAACAAAATAAATCCATGGTAGTAAATTTATTTATTCATGGCAGTAAATTTATGAGTGAATTTATTTGTGTATTAATTCTATTTCAAAGAACATATGCAAAATATCCATTGAACAAATTTAACAAAATCCAAAAATCCAGGGGGAGAAATTATGTTTAACCCTCAATAGGTTAACAAAGGTTTAGAAAATCCACGGGAAATGTTAAAATGAGAAATCCACATACCCTATTACTAAAGCAATATCCAGGGGGTATTTTTTGTAAACCCTCAATAGGGGGGGTGCGGTAATAAATGGAATGGCCCATTGCTGACATGTTCCCTTTGCCAAAAATAACATCAGTTTCAGCAAAAGGTATATTTAACAAAATTCCTACAAATTGTAAATAATACTTGTATTATAAATACTAAAAACAACAGGACTAGTAACATATTACAACAACAGAACTCGGGCATGAAATTATGTGAATGGCCAGAATGGCGGACATCAACTCGTCAGAAATTTCAGCCGAAATCTCTGATCCCTCACATTCCCATTCTACGAAACAAGTTAGCCGGCGGCAGAGTTATACTACGAAACGAACGACAGACAGTAAAGAGAAAGAATTAATACACAAATACATAATAATTCATATCGTGGAGCCGTTCATCCATGCCTCCTGGATCCTCAGTTCCTTCGAGAATGTGGCGGGAAAAACGGCAAGACTAGTTTCCATCTGCCAAACTGACATGACGTCAACTATTCGGAGTCTTTCGCTGAGAAAACAAGACCAGATCTAGACTTGGTTCATGGCCATGCACGCAAACGGTCAAAAAAAGGCGCGAAAATATGAGAGAAAAGTAAGGAGACTGGGAGAGACGGACTTGGAACTTGGATACCCTGCAAGCGCGCCGAATTTTACCGTCGGATTTTTTCTGTGGCTTGCCAGTTGAGAACAACAACAAATTTTCGCGTAACATTCCAGATGCTGCAAATGTCCCAAGTCCGTGTCTCCCTACTTTTCTCCTTTGACGGACTTGAACCAAGTCTAGACCAGATCCATATCTTTTATTAGGGGGATTTAGCACCACAGTGATGTTTGCAAAACAAATAAACAGCATTTTTCCTCGTAGAAAATTTTGTCTCTGAGGCCGTGGCTTTGTTTGTCTCTCAAACAAACTTACAAACAAACTTACAAACACAGCACACACAAGGCATGCAAGATTGCAAGAATAACTCTGTGAGCTATGTCCGTATTCCTTTATACTTCAGCGATTTTGACCAGTGATAGACTTATCGTGTATACCCTATTTTGGTATTAGGGCCGTATTTAGAACAAATAGAGCCAACAGAAGGCAAATATGGTTAAATGCGGGCAATCATGCGGAATGAGAAAAAAGCCAGAAAGCCCAGGTTACACGAGAAAAATTTGTTGGTTTTTTTTCCAAATTGCACGCACTCGAAACCATACTATTATTACCAGACTTTCCTTCTACGTCACAATGCGTATGGACTACTGAATTAATTTTTAATATCGCTCAAGTCATTTGAAACTTCTTTTGCTTGCCAGAAAAAAATGCAAACAGAACTCAAATTGTAAAAAAGACTTGTAAACTCATGGTGAAGAAAAAAGGTCTGTTATTTGGATATAAAAAATCCATCATAAAGAACTCACGTGTATTAATGCATCAAATGATAAATACAACAAAAAGTAAGATTTGATCTTTCATTTTTTGACCACGCAAATAAGCTAAAGCAGAAAATTACAAGAGATTTTATAGGCAATACCTACAACTAAAATAATAATTACTAGAGGATTTGTAAAACAACTAAATAACTCGACCTATATCTACCTATAAGTAACCTATACCTATTGCTATCTATTTGAATCATATAAACATGTCCTTTGACCAAGCATAGTCTATCAAAGTATTATGATGTGGAAACTAAACATAAGTCATTGTGTTATGTTTTTATCTGAGTTTATATTAATTTGTGATTTGAATGTGAACTCATCGTATTTTCGTATGAAGTAATAGTCCAGTATACACCCTTTCGATAATTACGTCATTTGGCCTGGGAGCCTCGTTCTCATGAATCGTGAGCCAATCACCTTGCGTAATTTACTAATGCACGAGAGCGTGGCTCCAAGACCAAAAAGTATGTGTGATGTAATTAACTGCAACTGCGACGAATAATATTCAATGAAATTGAGACAAAGGATTTGTGGCGAGCTTCAGTTCAAATCAAACAAATTTCAGGAATTCTGTTTTTTAGCTTTGCAGTTTGCCGGGCTGGAAGACCATAATATCTTGACAGACTATGGACCAAGGAAATAGTATTTCGATGCAGGAGAGCACGAATAACCTCCCAAGAAACCAAAGAGCGTAGGAGTTTCATTCAATTCAAATTTAGAAGAAAGGCTTTGTTGAATTTGTTGACCACTGACTATACGACTTATCCATGCATTGACATCGTGAAACACTATTGCCTGGGTGCAGAAGACCTATTAAATTATAATTTGCTTCAGTAATAGTATGCTCCATGAGCCCCTTTTCTGATTAGATTTTAAAGTAATTATCATACTCTTGCTTTGTCTGATCTTGTAATCTCTCCGAATCACCTTGCACACACAATAGATGGTCTATGTTTTATTTTCTCATTATGATGTTTCCCATTTTTCCAAGAAACGGTCTCTGACTGCGTCCAAGAAATCTACAGTGTTCAGGTAATGTTCGCGCTTTACGCTAAAAGGTTAAAGAGAAAAATGTTAATGCAGTATACATAAAATGCAAAATATAATGTAATTTACACACATTGTGCTAACACCTATATCTTCTTTAGGAATGAACCGGATATCATATCCGGATGAATAGCAAGCTAAACCTATTATTCCTGTATCCGACAGGATATATCAAATTTCCGGCCGAATACCGGATCATGTTTATTTAAGATTTAGGCCTTCTTTTCAGGTAGGAAATGATGTAATATGTTTAAAAAGTACGAGTATATATCTTTTATAAAACTTGAAATGTTCGCAGAGTAGCTGGCAATATTTTCAACAGTTTCGATGCTTGCTTGCAAATGCGAAAAGGTGGGTTCGAAATTTGAACCTTTTGAGCAAGGCTTTTCCAACCATACATGTTTATCGTTATTGGACTGTGGAGTTCTTTCCTTCACTTTATAACCAATGAAAATAATTATTTAACCTTCAATGACTGGGCTTGAAATTTATTAATTAACCATATCCGGTATCCGGACGGATAGTAAAATGCTCTATCCTGTGCACCTCTAATCCCCTTTGAGCTGCCTGGCTTTGGACGTCAGAAGTCACGGACATTACTGTATGGTTGTTGAAATATGGCTTCAACAGTAAATTGGGTAAACGGTAAATTGTATAACGCGTGCACTTACTTGGGAAGGCCATAGATACAGGCGGCTAAATCTTTTGTCATCTGACCACCATCGACGCAATCTACACACGCTTGCTCAAGCAAATTGCTGAACCTAAATAAACACAATGCATGTTAATAACCCTAGTACTGGGTCCGATAATGCGTTACCGGAGGTACATCCAATATTCGGTCTGGTACTTCTTTGTTTCCAGCCAAGTGCATGTACGAGATGTCTCACATCTGCTTACTGGTACCATATGTCCACATATGACTATAGTAACCAAAGGTTCCCAATGTATTCAAAACCGTAATAAAGCAGTTAGGCAGTAGCGGACACTAGGGGGGGGGGGGGGGCAACCGGCTCCCCAAATAATTTGTGAAAGCCTATAAATGGTAGTTGAATGTGTAAAAATGCTGTAGCAATAATTTATCAAACGTAAAAGCAATTTGATAGGTTGTAAATTAAGCTATACAGGGTGTATCAAAATAAACGCAATTCATCTTTTGTGCTTAATAACTTTCGAAATACTATTTCTAGTTTAACGCTTTTAGGCTTACTTCAAAGCCTGTTCTTTTCTCTTTCAAACAAACTATTATCCTTGTCTCCAATGCTAGT